TTAATCCTTTTCTGTTCTCCTTTCGTATCTTTTCATCGCGAGACCGATCATTTTAAATTTCAAAAGAAATCAAATCCACGCTCGCGAATATACTCACACGCCTGAAGAAGGTGACCATTTGGACGCGTGCACATAGCACAGAATAGAACCGCACGCAGTGGACATAGCGCACCGACATGTCGCTCGTGGACTGGCTGCGTAGTTCCAATATGTACCACCCGTGGACATGCGCTAGTTTACGGGGCGAAAAAGTGATTACACATTTTCTTATGGACCAGGCTTCTCTCTGGCACCACTCATGTAGCACATGTGACGTGACGATGATCCAATATTGCTCCAAACCAAAACATGTGACGCGATCATCAGTCTTGTAATTTTTTTTAAAAAGCGTATGGTTTAGGTAAAATATAATTATAGTGTTGAAAAAAATACAAATCTAGTATGTTTTCCATGTGGCGAACTTTTCGTTTTGGTGTGCAATTAGCGTGCAACCGATCCGTGCATCACGGTCTTTTACCAAGTGTATGTAAAACGAATCAATTATCAAGCACGATCGTCAGAACATGTCATCACAATCGGCCTGCTTATAAAAGTGATGATTGCAAGGTGTCAATTAAATTAGAAAACAAACTAAAGTTAATGTTCACATGCAAAAAATGCAAAACAAGAAACAGTAAACTAATATCAAAGTTGGCATATGATAAGGGAGTGGTAATAGTAAGATGTGAAGGTTGCAAGAACAATCATCTTATTGCTGATAATCTAGGATGGTTTTCGGAGACAAATCAAAAAATAAATATAGAAAAACTTATGGCTTTAAAAGGAGAGACTGTACGAAAAAAATTGAATGACAAAGATGGTTATTACGAAGCTGTTCTTAACGAAGAGTCGAAGTTACATCAGCAAGATGCTAACGAATTAAAAGATTCAAGTAATGAAGATAGTTCGGAAGAAAAACACATGAATTCCAAACAAAGTTGACGTTAAGAACTATATAATGTTATCTAGATTACAGGGATAATTACACAGGCAAGAATATATATAGTTTTTTTTATTATGAATTTATTGCATAATTTGTGCATCTGCAGTATGTAAGAATCTGGTTATATTGACTGATACAACCAGAGAGACAAGTACACGCAAATTTGTTTTCAAATACAAAATGTGCTAAGGAGTCTGATGTATTAATGTATTATTGCTTATATGTATAAGAATATATATTGTTATAGAAATATATATCGCATATGAAAATATGGTGAAACATTGTAATAAAATTTATCTACAAATATCAACGTTATTCATATTTACAAATCAAAATACATAGAAAATTACATGTGAATTTTTTCTCTATATATTTCGTATTTTTCTTCAATATACCTCTAATAGCATTAAATATTGGAGTCTACATATATTTTTTAATCCGAATATTCAGGCTATAAAAAATATATATAGTTTTACCATAAAGTTATACATCTGTTTCCACATATAAGATCTGACATGTCTGTTTTTATTTCAGAATGTGTGTTGGCACAATTATTTATGTATCGAATAAGTAATAATATTTCTACCAATGGCAAATCATACATTTGGCACAAAGAACATACTAATTATAAATGGCTTTTCAACAAATTCTTAAAATTATCTTAATACTTTTTTTTTTTATATACAAGTATGTAAAACCATTCTGTGTGCAAATAAAAAATATATAAAAGAGTAATATTATTATTCAATCTTATCTATACACATGTGTATATGTATATATAAAATTATATTTGTTTATATAAACTACTACTTATTTATCTATTTATAGATCTTTAGATGATTGTGCAGTGTATATAATATTTTTTTCGCATATGTACTTAAATATACAGTATGTTTCTGAAATAACATTTTTATGCACTTGTTTTGTTATTTTGAATCATGCCAATGAAATAATAACTAGTCATATTTACATTAAAGAGCAACAATATACAATTAACTTCATTATATTGACAATACTATTTACTGACAGTGATGATAAGAAATATAGTGTGTAGCAAAATATATTAAATAGTATTAAATATAAGTTATGAGACTTGTGATGATCTATTAGTCATCTTTTGGTAAAAAAATTTATATATATTCAATTATATTCAAAAATACTCACATATTTATATTTGAAAAGTTATTTTTGAATAGAAAAGCTTATATCAGAAGATAGAGTAATTATTTTTATTTACTTGGAAAGTAAATATGTACTATAATATCATAAAATATCTATTTTTTAACGGTTACAAACTAGAATAATAGAAATTATATGGTAGAGCAGAGAAAAAAGTAATATAATATATAATACTTATAATAAAAATTTATGATCGTAATATATAATTAAGGTATTTATCGCACGACAGTATCACATTCAAAAATCCTACGTTAAAGATATAAAATCTCAAAATTCGACTCATATGTTGTACAAAATACTTTATAATCAATTTTATCGGCTATTTCATTAGTGTGGAAATAAGTAGTAAAAGAAAGTAGAATTTTATTAAATAGAAGTAGGATTTTTTTATGTTCAAAAATTTCTTTATATTTCCTAATACGCATTACAAATTTAAAGAAAGTTGTAAAATAGCGTAGTCTACGCAACAAATACCTTAATACAATAAATTCCTAAGTACACTAATACAAAAATTCTAATATCAATAAAAGAGAACTTTTCTTTCTCTCTCTTTTTCTCTGTTTAATCTAACATATGAATTAACATATAAATTTCCATAATAATTTAGTATTAATTTGGTATTAAATTGTTTTAATGTTTAACCCTTTCGCTAGCGCGGATCTAGCCGCCTGACCGCTCATGCCGAACCGGCCGTCATGTCACAAATGTGCATTTCACGCGCAAGCAGTCAACAAGCTAAAAGTTGTTGATTGCACTAGTGACGTTATTCTGATCTTTGTGACTGATTTTCATGACAAACGACTTTAATTACCCGTGGTAATGAAAGGATTAACACGCTACATATATATATGTATATAAATTAATTAAGTGTATTTAGATAAAATTTTAATCACTTTTTGAGCTATATAATATTATGTAGAATTATATGAAATATATCTTTTATAAAAAAAAAAAAGACAGATATTTTGAAGTATCTATAAGACTAGTGTCTTTCCGTATAAATGAAAAATATAGAATATATAATATACAAATATAATTGTGTGATAAAAGTAAATATTGCATCTCACACATTTAATTTATAAAACAATTTACGAAACAAATTTTGTCGTATTAAATTAAAAAAAAAAAAAAAAAAAAAAAAAAAAAAAAAGAGTAAAATGAGAAATATTTGTATCCTATTATAACTAAGAGAGATACAGACTAGCACATATGATTATTAAGACTCAGTTTCCTTTCAAATTTAAATTAAAAAATTGGTCATAATGCTCTCTGAATTGATATGTGATATATAATTTTAATAGCTTACACCCGTTTTGGTTTTGATACTATTGCATATTCGCTATTGTTAAAAACTTTATGCTGGGGATTACTTACGGTATTATCAGTGGAAACTGTCTCGGAAATATCCAACTTTTTTCGAATCATTCCGTAACCAAGATGGCTATCGTCGGCTAATCTAACAGCCGACATGTCTTCAACGATATCGTAATTAGACCATGCTGAACTAATAAGATTGGAACTTTGTCCGTGAGAAGTGTTGGAATGTATGCTTTGTGAAGAATTCGTATACTTATATCCAAGTTTAGGCGCGGATCCGAAGTGTTCCAACTTATCATAATCTGATTCATCCGTTTTGGTGACGTTTTTTACCATTGACGATGTGGTGATCGCGGAATCGCTAGAACCACTTTTGTTTTTGACAGAATTTTGAAATGGCCCATCGTGATTCCGTATAGGCATCATGATTTCGTATTGCATATCATCATCGTCGTTTTCTTTATTCCTTTCCCCGGGTAAACTCGAATTTATTCGTTCAGTATGATGCACGTTATCAATGCCATGAGTCTTCCAAGCGTCATTTCTAATTTCTACTAAGTCGTATGGATTTTTCCCTTCCTCCTCGTGCGAAACACTTCCTCCGATAGTCTTGTGAGATAATTCTGGCGAATTAGCTTGGCTTAAAGTTCTATATTCTCCACATGTGGGTAAATCCAGAAATTCTGAATCAGGATTCTTTTTCTCCAACAAATTAGGAAACACATATTTTCGCGGAGGTTTGGCGGGCTTCGATTTATTTGTCGATCTACTCGATGAAATTGAATCTATACTTGTCAACGAAGTTAACTGTTTTTGAGAATTTTGTGAAGTAGAAAATTCTATGTCGATTAAGTTGCTGGAATTATTCGAAGAAGGAGGTAAAGCAGCCCTGGAACCAGGTTCCATAGATAAGGCCGCATGATACTGAGCATCGTTGCATTCTATGCTTGGATTGTTCTCCTCGTTCAGTAACTTTTTCATGGATCTCATTTTAGCATACATGCATCGAAAAATTTCTTGTTGACTACTATGTTCTAAACGAAAAGAACCTTCGCCACTTTCGCACTTTCTTCCAGCCTCGAAGATGAATTTGCCGTCTCTGTACCCGTATCTTCTAATATACCTGTACGGCCAGGTAAACAAGACAACATCGCCGTCCATCAATTTCATATCTGCAGCTGCAACTACCAACGTATAATTTCTCGCTTCTAATCCACATCGCTTAGATGCGTCTGTCTCAACAACTTTCACAGAAAATACACCTTCTCCGCTGGTGCAATACAGATCATTGTTTTCTTCTAGTTGATTTGATACACTATCCTTAAAGGCAACTAGTTGGAATGCTGTAATCCAGTGTGTCATTTCTATTTCCGAATAACAGCCAAAATAGTGTGTCACTCCTGATTTAATCACCACCTGGTATAATAGAAGCATGATTTTTCACAATATAAATATCAAAAAATCAAAATTTAAATTGACATAAAACAGAAAAAAAAATACATACAGTAAAGACATGTGACTGATTGCTAGGAGCAATTTTTATACAGGCATCCAGCGTGATGATACGTGGGGAATGGGATTGTAATATTGCTTCCTCTTGATTGTCATAAATTTCTACACGTTTGATCCCATAGTTGCTTGTCCTGAAAAGCTGGCAAAATCGTTTGTGCCATGTTTTCTAGAAGCACAAATAAATTGATTTAAAATTGATTTGATTAATTTGTAAAAAAAAATCTGTGCTCATGTCTTGTTGTATATTTGCTTGAAACTTTCTCTCGTTATATAAAATAAACTGATAAATACGTGAGATAATTAAAAGAGGAAAAACATGCTTCGTGAAAATGTGTAATCTCTCGATTATTTGATTTTACGACACAGAGTGAGAGGAAAAGATGAGACATGTTGCGTATCGTATGCACCTGTTGCGTGCATCCGCCACGAGGAGAAAAGAGAGAATAAAGAGCAAAAACAAGGAGAGGAAAAAGAGAGAATAAACAGCCGTTCGCGCGTATATGACACGCCATCCGCGATACCGCGTATCGCATTAGCATGGTTAGCATCCTATGTGTTATCTCAAATATGCGAACCAACCTTGAGCTGGCCTAGCATTCCCTGTGGCGGTAACAACAGGATCCCTTGCATTAGAGGTTCCTCGGGCTCCATTGCGGGCGATCAAAACATCAGTTTCTCCTCGAAATCGGTCGAAAACTTGTTCCTCGTGGTCGCGGAAAACGAACTCTTTGTTCACGCAACCAGCGAAAAGAGGGAGAGAGAGAAAGAGAGAGAGAGAAATGAACAATTTTTTTTCACCGTTAAAATACTTGGACTTTCTTTATCAGCCGTCACGTGCTCGTCGTTGATTCTCGAAATATCGCGAGAGCTGCGGAAATATATAAATTTTCTCACTCTTGTGTCTCGTACGATCTGACAGATCTTTAACTATATATATATATATATACGTATGCACGGCACGACATACGAGAGATTCAGCCCATGGTAACGTAGAGCACTTGACAGTTGACGAGGACGCGGCTGTTAACACTAGGTTTAAACACCAAGCGACCACCGCGAACACGACGACCGAGATTCGACGATATGCCGTTGTGCCGATATGATGTATATGTATATTAAAGTAGTATATTGCACGACGTTATGTACCCGTACATGCATATGTATATATATATATATCTTACATGTATGCGCGCACACACGTTCACAGCAGTTCACACAGTCAAACTCTCCTCGCAGTGTTCGCACATCTATGTACCACACGGTTCTACACAAAATTCCGGACTCACGACAGCGCCGCCGCGGAATGTTGGATCGATCTACACGACACGACATCGATAGTCGATTACATAGATCGAATATTTTCAAAAAATCGAGAAAAATAATGCGCGCGCAATTTTTCTTGAATTTACGCGCTTGAAAAGAGTTTACTTAATACTAAAATAAATGAAAAAGAAAAAAACGCAAACATATTCTCTTCAATAGATGAGAACGGAAGATGTTCTACCGGTGACAGAAAGTTATATTTTTTAAAAAGGCAGTTGCAATAAATTTAAAGCGTTTCTATCGTTGTTTTTTGTCATTATACAGACTGTTTCAAAAAAAGAGACAATAAAATATTCGAAGAGAAGTAGTATGCCTCCAATTGAGATATTTTTGGGATATTTCTATTTCTGTTGGTTTTTTTTTTATTATAATTTATTTAAAAAAATAACAAATGGTATTTTATTTTATTTTATTGGAGAAAATGCAGAGTCTGTACGTGTGGAAGAAAGTCATTTTGAGCATTTTGTAATAAATTATTACTCCTAATGTATTAAAATAAATTGTTATCAAAAACGACAAATAAATTTACAATATATAAATATATTGCAAATAAATAAAAATAGTTCAAGAAATATATATATCACTTATTTTAAAAACTCTACGATTTCTATGAACTTCCGTTTCTGTGATTTCTACGATTTCTATGATTAATGTTATATATATTTCTAATGCGTATAATAAGAACACATTTACAGCAGAATGCAGCTTTCTTATCACACATCAACATCGAATCACGCTAACAAAGAAGAAGTGGTAGACCGCAACGCGTTTAACACTTTTTCTTTTGTCTTCCTATCATGTAATAATATTACAAAATAATGTTACAAAATGTAATAATATTAAAATAGTAACAATATCACAAAAAATGCATAATAAAGATATAATCACACCGGGCAAATAATATACACTATTAATTATTTTATATCATGACATTATATAATAATTTTTTTCATTGTGATTTGTTTTTTTTTTTCTGTTCACGTAAGTCCGCAAACCAGTAATACATTTTGTTCGAGTTGTGTGTGATGAGATTCGATCGTTTCTTAATAAATTATTGAAAGATCGACCTTTCGTGATCGCACAAGTCATCAAACGAGCACGCCCAGTTCACGATTGCGTTTCGACCAAGTTTAACGAAGTTTCAGTTATCGCAGCAATAATGAATCAACGAAACTAATGAATTCATATATCATTGAACAATGTTGTTACTTATATATCGACTTATTGGTGCAACTCCTGTCTCGAATACGAACCGTCGATGATCATGATCTCCGTGTTTTTCCTCGCGTGGTTTTTAAGTTCAGCTGACGCCTTCAATGAATTTCCGTCTCTGATATCTGCCAACGCCTCGATGGGTACGAACAATTCTGCTTCTCTTCTTGACTTTCAGTGATCTTCTTTTTTTTTTTTTTTTAAAGTTATAACGTATAAAATTGTTTGCTTCAGCGGTCGTTGTCGAGAAAGCGTTCTTTGATAACAAAAACGACTATCACCACACTATGAAAAACATTTATAATTTTATCACAAACATCACGAAAAATGAGATGCACATAGGTAATATCGACGTGCACGTCTTTCGTGACAAAACTCCGAGCAATTTTCGAGGTGAGAATAAAACGCGTTAAGCGAAGAGCTTTTATCGCAAATTATTTTATATGTATAATTATTTAATTAGCACTATAATGTCTGTGTACACATATGTACGTATACTTGCTTTCTGTTTAATTAAATTGATCAATTTAGTTAAACTTTGATTAATAATTTTTCTTGTTGTTTAATTTCTTCTCTCTCACGCTTTTCTTTCTGATATGTTTAAAAAGATTACACGGCGCTTCTGTCGATAGCAATGTGTCATCAAACATGGAATCTGCACAACGTAGTGCGCAAAGAAGATCTCGTGCATTTAGCAATATCAGGTGACAAAAGAAACGAAAATGCGTGAACGTCTCTCTTTTGTTTGCATTGAGCAAAATATGTAGATTTTGATGATGCATGTGTTACGCATGCAATTATAGATGGTGACTAATTGTAAGACGTTACTTGCAAATATACTCGTTATCTCGCTGATTTAAAATTCTCTTATCAATGTTGCGTTGTGTATTACGTCAAAACCAAAAGTGACACATTTTATAGCTGATTCACACAGGTGTCCGGTGACCCACATGTTTTATTATTGTACAATCTGTTAAATAGATAATGTAAAAAATACGAGAGAAAAGAGAGACAAAAGAATTTATATTGTTGTATTTATATTGTTTTTAAAAAACTATTATATTCACATATTTTACATATCGCTTACTTAAAGAACGAGATTGTCCACGATTTCCCGATTCGGAAGGTGTAATTATTCCCTTAATACTACCGGGCAAAGAACTGTCTCAGATTCTCTTCGACATGAGAATAACTGACAGCTTGACTTGGAACAACATCAACATACTGCACGATGACACATTCGGTGACAAAAACATTTTTACAATTCAACCATTAATCAATTTCCTTTCTCTTCCTTCTTTTTCAGTTATTCTCAATTAAAACTTGTTTCTTCTTTTTTTTTTTTTTTAATTTATTGTAGACAGAGACACAATAAACAGAGTCACCAAAGCTATATCGACCGAATTGCCGAATAAGAAATTCACCATGGTCTCCAGATCGTTGTTTGCCTTTAAACATGCTGATTCTGAACGTACCAGAAGAAAATATATAAAAGACATGCTTGAGAATTTTCATGTAGAGCAGTTGGGAAAGTGTTTTCTCATTATTGTCACGATAGACACAGCAGCCGACGTTATGGAAGTTGTAAGATGATCATTTTTAAGTATATTTGCTAGTTATACGCGTTTATTTGAAAAATTTAATATAAAAATGAAATTGTAGCGTATATAATAAAAGTGTAATTATGTACATACAATAACACAGAATTTATTTTGAGTAAAAGTTATTAGATTTAATGTTCAAAATAACATCATTTATATAAACAATGTGTTATTTAAAATACAAATCTTATAAATTCTATTATTATTATTAAATTTTCATCACTTTGCTTTAAAAATGTTATATTTTAAGTTTAGTCGCAAATTATTTAATAAAATGTTGTTTTATAGGCGAAGACACTGAATATGGCTCGACCTGACAGTCAATGGTTATACGTTATCACAGACAGCATGACAAGAAAATCTACGAATATTACTGTTTTCGCCGACTTGTTATCGGAAGGTAGTAACGTGGCTTTCGTTTACAATGCGACGGACAGCAACACGTATTGCAACGTAATTTATTTAACTCGTTTCAATATTATGTGTATTCGCAACTTTTATTTTAACGCATACGCTTCCGTATAAAAAGAAATTTTTATCAAAAATTTGATTTGCAATAGAAAATCTTGTAATAGTTTCAAGCAACATTGCATTTTTTTTTTCGCTATACACAGTTCTCAGAAAAAAAATTACTTACTGTTTAGGTCCATTTACTGTGTCATGTTCAGGAATTAGTTACAGCTCTGGCTAAAGCTCTGAACTCATCATTAAGAACCGAAATAGAATTGTATAATCATGTGCTCAACGAGGAGTTCGAACTCATCCGATTTGACAAGCGCGAAAGACAACAAGAACTTCTTAAGAATATTAGAGTTTGTAATATGGTTCTGATATTGTTTTCCTGTATCACAAATAATTAGTTTTTGTGCACACGTAGATTTACGTAAAAGTCGGAAGACATTTGTTATAAAATTCATATATTTTGCGATTCTATTAGTGTGTGTATCTCTTTGTTAAGAACTTTCGTTTTTTTTTTAAATTATTTAAAAGACGCTTATATATGTATTTTTTTTTCTACGATTAATTACTTCTTTTAGATAACACTCGTGGGGGACACTTTCGTTGGAAGCGGCGTTTGCAGTAGATGTTTGTTCTGGCAATTCGCTTCCGCCATAACATGGGGCAATTTCTTCGTTCACGGTAAAAATACCGCGCACTTGATTGATTCGGGAACCTGGATTCCCACTCTTGGCATAAACTTGACGGACGTTATTTTCCCGCACATTGCGCACGGTTTTCGTGGGATCAGTTTGCCGATTGCTACTTATCACGTGAGTAAACGTTACACACAATAATGGTTTCTTTCTGGTTATAACAAACATTTCGGTGATTTGTTTTATTTGTTAACGCGGAAAAAAAATTAAGGAATTATACTTTTTCTCATGCCCAATTGTGTAACAAAAGGTCTCTCATGCATTCTAGAATCCACCGTGGCAAACTGTCACGCTGAGCGTTTCCGGTGAGAAACAGTACGGAGGATTGGTTTTCGATGTTGTGAAGTACTTAGCGAGAAGATTAAACTTCACCTATACCGTGCTCAGTCCGGCGAGCAATCGGACTATCAAGTACACTCATAATGAAACTGAGGCCGACGTGGTAACACACTATCATACATAATGACATTTTTGATTTTTTTTTTTTAATAAAAACTCTTTGTTAACGAACACTTGAATTTGTTATTAAATTATTACGTTCCAAGATATTAACGTCAACAACGAGAGAAGTGCCGCAGCAAATAATTGACATGGTTGTCAAAAAGAGAGTTCTCTTCGCAGCGTGCGCGTACACCGTGAACAGTTTCGGAAAAGGAAAGATTAATTTTACTCTACCGATCTTCATGCAAACTTATAGTTTCTTGACTGCAAAACCGGGCCAGCTTTCCAGAGCGTTATTGTTCACCGCACCTTTTGCCAAAGAGGTAATTTACGGCATACTTGTACACTTTCATTAATCAGAAATATATACATCAATTTTGTTTGCAGACCTGGGCCTGTTTGGCAGCATCTATTGGTATAATAAGCCCGGTCTTGTACTTGATTCACAAGCACAGTCCAAACAGCGTGAAGATGTCGGGATTGAACTCACAGTGGCAATGTATATGGTACGTCTACGGAGCTTTACTTCAACAAGGTAAAGACTAATCACATTTTCAAACACGTTGTTGTTTTTAAGTCCCGCAAGATTTAAAAAAAAATAAATTTTCTACCTGACAGTCTCTCGTAAAACACTTTTTGTAATGTAATGTGTGTGTGTGTGTGATAAAACTACATACGTTCACAAACTAATGAAATTATCTCTGGATGATTTTAACACTTTTTGTATTTACGCGTATAAAATTAAATAAATTTAATTTTCGAGAAAATAAAAAAAAAAAATAAAGCGCGGAAATAATTTGCAGGAGGAATGTACTTACCCCAGTGCGATAGCGCTCGTTTGTTGGTTGGTGTGTGGTGGTTGGTCGTGATGGTTATAGTGGCGACCTATTCCGGAAGTTTGGTCGCCTTTTTGACTTTTCCAAATATGGACGATGCCATTCTGACCATTGACGATCTTCTCGCTCATAAAGACAAATTAACGTGGGGCTTTCCCAATGGTAGTTTTTTAGAAGAGTATCTGAAAAACACCGAAGAGGAAAAATATCATGTGCTGTTGGACCGATCCATAATTCATAATGCGACCCAAGAAGCAAAGATGATCGAGAAGGTGAAGGCGGGAAAGCATGCGTTAATCGACTGGAGAAGCACGTTGAGGTAATCTCACAACGCATACATAGTATTTTGAAAAAAAAATACTGTCCTAAAGTAATATACATATATATATATACACAATTGCTTGTTTAGGTTTGCAATGAGAAATGATCTCTTATTAACCGATAAATGCTCCTTTTCTTTGAGCACTGATGAATTTATGGACGAGCCGATAGCAATGATCATTTCGCAAGATAGTCCGTACATAAAAATCATCAATACTGAGTAAGTTAAACTAAATTCTCGTTATTTTTTAACCATTTGAATTTTTTGTTTGATATTCTCCGCAAATATAATCCTCTATCGTAAATTTTTGTGTCGACGACTGTCACAGTTACGGACCGCTACGTCCGTTCATAAACTCCATTTCCATGCAAATTTATCTCGCGCAAATTATAATATCGTTTTGTATAGATTGTATCGCATGCACGAGTCCGGATTAATGAACAAATGGATATCGGAGCAAATCCCGATAAAAGACAAATGCTCGGACAGTTCCGTCAATCAAGGCGTAAACGAGCGCAAAGTAAATGTAACGGATATGCAAGGCATATTCTTTGTGCTTTTTATGGGTAATGTGTTTTTTACCAAGCACCACGTTTTCTCCAGAAAATAATTATTAGACGGAACATTTTTTTATCTCTTCTTGCTATTTCCTTTCGCAGGCGTGACTGGATCAATATTTCTTTTGTGTTGCGAATTCTACTGGCACAGACGCAAATTATCGAAGCAACGCAAGCTGATTCAACCTTTTCTATCTTGAGTTTCATCCGGTATCCGAGAATAAACGCTTTTATTTCCCATGAAATAGCTTGGCGCTGTTAATAAATCTCTGCGTATATACAGTTAGATTTTATTATCGCTTGAAGTTAATTACGAGGGATCGTATTTGCATGAGTATAATTTTCAACCACGTGTAATGATCTTTTAATTAGAATGATGATACACTTATATATAATCTTTTGTCACGCCTTCCTTTGTAATGGATAATAATTTATCATACGGCTAAATTGTGTATAGAAAGTTGTTTGTAAATATAATCTCTGATCAAGAAACACGTTTTTGTTTTTAAAGACGCGTGACTAAACTAAAATCACGTTTTTAACGTCACGTGACCAAAGTGAAGTGTTGTTTTTTCTCTCTTCCCTGTCTTTGTGACTTTACTTTTGTCACGTTTTTAAAAAAAAAACATTAGTCGGTCTCTGTATTGGAGAGAGAGAAAATGATAATCAATTATAATCAATTGGTAATCATTGAATGATCATCAATTATATGCAATATATGAAAATTATATTATAAGAATCTTTGATATCTGTATCGAACAGATGTTGATTCTAATATTTTAATATGTGAGATGAGAAGAAACACGCAAGACGATATACGACTGTATACGCGCGAAACAACAATTCGCCTCAGCTCTCATTGTTAGTGTGGCGGATTCTGCAAATTTAGCAACCATCCGTGGCATATGCGCGGTAAAAGTCACCGTGGTGTTACATAACTACGTTCCACACAGTGATCCTCCCACTTAGATCAGTCGAAAGCAGATCTTCACTTCGTCTTCACCGCCGTCGTCGTGCCGCCGCCCGCCGACCGCTACTACCGTTATCGAACGCGCGATATCCGCATATTTTCCAGGATTTGTAATCTGTTGCGAGAGAATGAATCGTGTGATCGCATGATTTAGGAACAATTTCGGCTCCGACGCACAGGTATACAATTATTTTTCAACTCACAGTTGTGTTCGGTTCGTCAAATGTGTTCGGCAAACTGATCTCATCTCGAAGTGGAAAACAAAATTATTAAATCACAATTATTATCCAGTTAGTATAATTTTGTTTCTTCTTCACACAGAATGTATAGCATTTTAATAAATTTTACACAATTGTTAAAAATATTATTTACTTACATAAAAAGTGATTTTAATTTTTTTTCACAATTTTTTAAATATACAATAATGGCACTTATACTTATTACTCATTGATATGTCTACTTTACCAGTCATATATATGCGTATATATTTCCATAATCTACAGTGGTATGCGAAATTTATATAAATCGATTTGCGCGGATGTCACAAAAAAACAAATAAACGCGCGAATACACACAAAGAAACACCACGAGCAAAACTCTCGAGATTCTCTTCGTTTAAATGTGGGTGTGTGTATTTTACATACGTACGTATATAGAAAGATCGGTTTTTTTTAAAGGATCAAGCAAAAAAAAAAAAAAACAAGAAAAGGAATTGGCGCTGTCGACTGGGAGGGAAGTTATGTGCGCAATTTAACGGGGATTACGACCTTAACCACTTAAGAAGTCGCGGTAGTAATCAGCGCGGGCTTCGAACGGGCCTCTCGCGCGGGCCTGAAGCGCCTCGGCCGGGCCTTGAGCGGGTCTTGATCGAACCTCGGAGGCCCCGGCTGGCGCGGCCTAGCCTAGCGTGTCTGATTCGCGCGTACCGACGTGAGCCAGTTCCGACGTAGAACGCGAACGACTCAGGCTAATCCCTAATAGAACTGGCTAGAAGTCGCGTCGTCGGCTCCCCGGACTCTTGTCTCACAACGATTGAAAAGCATCGAGAACGAAGCAAACGACCGGAAACGATGAGGAAGTCATCGCATTGGATCGTGATATTGCAGCGTACGTAAAGCTGAGTCACTGAGTAATCGAATTTATTAAAAAAATATTCAAGTTTTTTTCTCCTCAAATACAGAGATAAGTAAAACACATTTTTGTATTTCTACTTTGTCATATCACAAAGAGGATGCGAGTTATTTGTGTAGAATATTAAAAAAAAAAAAGTTAGTTTTATATTTTGTATTCGAGACCAGAGATTTTTATTTAAAAAAAAACAAAGCTAATGTTTTCTCTGATTTGTACGATACAATTTGAATTTCATTGTGTGATGCTATGTTGCAGTAGTATCGTCCGCATTCGCTTATAGGTACGGTGGTCCGTGGTATCGCGCGGACACGCAACGTCCAGTCGATGTGATCACCGATGTCGTGAACGATCTCGGTGTTAAGATCCTTCAGCAGTATTCGATGCACGGGAATGTGGCGTTCTCACCCACGGGGGTTGCTTTCGTTCTGGTTGCGCTGTACGAGGGATCAGCCGGCAGAGGAAATCAACAAATCGTCGAAGCCATGGGACTACCGAGCCGGGATGTTACCAGAATCGGATTCAGAGATATTCACCGACGATTGAGAGTAAGATCGGAAATTATTATTACACGTTTTTTCGGACGTGTTTCGTCAATTTTTCTCGCTCGTTTTATCGCTTGTTTGTATATTTTCGTATCTAACGATTTCTAATATCAAATTTGAGAATCTCTCGAATGTTCCTTCGCAGAAGTTTCCAGAGAATGAAGTTGGTAATTGCTATATATATAAACATCAAATAATTAGAGAGTATTTTACATTAAAAATTGTTACATTTGTTCGAAGAGTTACTTGAACGCCGATGGGTTTTTGGGCGGACTGACTCTGAGCAGAGATAACATCGGACTTCGTCCCGAGTACGAAGATACCCTGCGGTTTTACGGCTTCGATTTATCGAGTATCGAACAGGAAGCGAATGTTACCGTTAGCATGGGAGACTCGTCAATTACGACCGAACTTCCGACGTCTACGATCGGCTCAACTTCACCGACGGTAGAGACAACAAATACTAGCATCGTGCCGGACACGACAACGACCGTGTCGAGAGACATCGTTACGACACTTGCCACCGGTAGCACTCAATCGACCACATCAGACAACAATCAGCAAACTGTTACAATATCCACAAGTGTCGATATGCAAACGACATTGGTTTCAGTCACGAGTCCAAGAGCGATCGATACATCTTCGACGCAACCGTCAGGTTTAACCACATCCGTTGATGGAATTGTCCAGCAGCCGTCTTCGTCCACTGGTACGGAAAGCGTCACGGATACACCGGCGAATACACCGGCAATAAATACCGATCTACCGGCGACAGTTACGGACAGCGACCAAATGAGTACGGTTCTTGCTACGAACGATCAAAGTCTACAAACTCCTTCAACGATCGTCAATGGAGCAAGCGGAACCGTCACGGATGCCGTTCTTAATGCAAATACAGAAAATATCGGAAGTACAAATGCACCGGGTTCGAATTTATCAATGACCGCTGACACTCAAGTAACACCAACAAGTAGCTCGACAACTCTTGTTGCGCCAATAACTTCAAACGGCGCAATCGCTTCGAGTCCCGAAACGATATCGGACAACAATATCACTTCGCAGCCAAGTACCGAACCGTCGATATCCGCAAACATTTCGACCGAAATTACTCCGCAAGTAACCAATCCGAATCTTACAACCGTGCTGATGACCACTACGATAGTCAGTTCTGAAAGTGTGACGACGATACCACCTGTTCAAGCGGTGGTAACGAATACAAGCAATCTTGCCGGAAATTCGAGCGCTATAAACGCAAATTCCACGATAAATTCCTCGTCAACGAATAATCAAACGATCGCAAACGCTACGACGAATGGTACATCAACGAGTAATCAAACTGTTACATCTCCGATAGGCGAAAACACTATTTCGATGAATCGGAAAAAGAAAGAAATTAAAATCGAAAACGTGAAATCGGATTCGAACTTAAAAAATGACAATATTCACAACGACGAGTTCACGCAAAATCGTCTTAAACGCAAAACGAGAAGTTCGCGTGAATATTTCTCCACTTACTCAGGTACCCGGAGTAATCAATTGTCGAAAAATATTTTCAGATAATATATGTGTGTATTTTTTTATATTAACAAAAAAAATTTGACTTTTGGCAGAGACATTTATTTTTTTTTCTGTTACTCTTGAAAATAGAAATATTTCTGTTGATGATCGGTAGACTTTAGATTTGTTTATTTTTATAGACGAAGGTATTTGGATGCAAGATTTGGAAATCTGGAAATCTTACGGCGAGCCTATCGGAGACTTCGCGACAGAAATATCGTTTTTGGTAAATGGCTGCGACGTTTCTTTGGTATCCGCTTCGAAATACATCGCTGTACTGCCTTTCGCGTACTTTCCATCGTTACACGCTGTCGCCCTTGAGTTTCCTCTGGACGTAAGTTTAAGAGAGACAAAGAGACAAAGACAAATTTATTTGAGTTATAAACTGAATTTTTAATATTTAACAAGTTTATGAAACTTTTTTATAAAAAAGAAACGTGAATTTATTGGATAAGTTTCTTTTATTGACGGCAAAGAGAGAAATCTTGTTTGTGTTTGTTTATAAATCAATGTTGGTTACAATATCCACAAACGTATACGTATATATGTGTTATTTTAAACAAAATAACACTCTGATGTTGTTCTTTTAATATATATTCAAAGGATCCCCGATATAATATTATACTTCTGATGCCGACGGATAAAACGGATACGCACCGCCTGGCGAGAGATCTCAGCGGGAAGTCATTGAGATCGTTGAGGAAGCGATTACAACCTACTTGGGTCAGGGCCACTATACCTTCGTTCATGCTTCATGGTTTCGTCACACTGACGTCATTTCTTCAAAGGGTAAGCGAACAGTACGTCATTCTCTTGGACGTCGTTGCCCTTTTAATGTCACGCGTTACATCAAACAATTAATTAATTAATTAAACATACAATAACATACTTTTATTAGTTCGTCTTTTTTCTCAACAATTTTATTTTTTCTTCAGGATCTTCTTGGAGAAAATATTTATATAAACTATTGTTTTTGTTGTGAAGAATTTAAATTGTAATATAGAGAGATTGAAAAAAAAAAGATTATTAATCGCAATTTTGAAACGTTTTTTGACACTCTCAAAAGTGAATCGTGGATCTAACGCATTTTTTTTTTTATTTTGAAAACAAAATTTTGCAACACCTCCGGCACCGTTTGTTAAGTGTTCCATTAATACGTACTCTTGTTTGATAAAAATTGAAACAGTTTTAGATAATTTATTTTTATTTTTATATCACTCGATAGTGATGTTGCTTGCTTCGTGTTACTTTTTTTTTTTTTTATTGTAGTTGGGAATCTTGGACGTATTCGAGCCAAGAGTAGCCGATTTATCGCCCATGACATCCGATCTCGGTGTATACGCCAGAGACGTGCAGCAGAGTATAGGGGTTAATATAAGGAATTATATGAAACCCGACCGGACCCATTCTCGTGAGTCGTCTAATGTCGTTCCACCTCGACGGGACTATTATCGATATCTGCCTCCAGGTTCTTTTATTCTGTTTATGCTTTTCACGCACTATTGCACTTTCCTTTCAATTACCCCATAACGGTAAACATCTCCGCACACGTAGAGAGATGTATCCTTCATTCCTTGATGCGTGTTTTTGTTCCGAATCTTAAAAAACTCCGATTTATACAGTTTTATACATTATATATATGTGTAATCTTTTCCACTTATTAATGTTCTTGTATTTTTTTTTCTCTCTCTCTCTCTGCTCTTAATTAGATATTCTACGCTTCGTTTTCCTCTTTTCTCTTTTTCTTTCTCGCGCGCTGTGATCACAAATTACTTCCTCTCTCGCTTGCAAATGTAACTATAACGCAATAGAATATGCTCAATGCCAAACTATTCGGAATTTTTAATTTTAAGTAAATTTATGAGTTTATTTTCGATTTCACGCGTCGCTTCGTAATAGTTTCTTTAATAAACGGAGACCTTCCGGGTCTGTATTCAATAATGACAAAAAGTTAATACATTTATTTAACACATTTTCTTATTTAATATAATCAAGAAAGCGTTGTGTGTGTCGAAGGTTTTTTAGTAATTTACTTCAATATACTGTAGATTATACATATACACTGTTATATATATGTGTACAATGTTTCTCCACGTATATATAAATAATTTAATTACAATAATTGAAAGAAAACCACACATATATAGAGACGCGAGTGTAGAGCGAATAGCGACGCCTCGGATTCTCAAGCCACAGATAATGTTCGAAGAAAGATAATTGCGTTGATGCAATATCCGGTATTAACGAGTGAAATTGCAATGTCTCGCGCGCAGCTTGAGTGCTCTCCAGAAACGCGCGCATAATTTTGTAAACGACTACCGACAACGACACAATGTAGCTCTTTCTATGCGTCGTGAACACGCGTCTGACGACGGCTGGCCATTACTACTGGCGCGTACTTGGTTAGTTTCTTTCTTTTTATTTTCTCTCTCTTTCTATCCATCTATCTATCTATCTATCTCTCTCTCGTTCTTACACGCTTCCGCGTGGATCCGCCGTTGTTCTTTCTCACGTTCCGCTAAATCTTCATTACTCAACATCGCTGTCATTAACGACAACGTGCAAGCGGCCGCGCGCTTACGCCTCGCTTTTATTACATATATCCTCGAGGTCGCCATGCGTTTCCAAAATTATACAGAATCATTTCAGAGAGATGCTTATTGAAGATTGAGAAACTTCGTCGAAACAAATAATATTAAAATATTACGCAAACTATTCAGCTCTCACACACGATAATTATAATAGTTGAGAACTAATTAGTTTTTTTTTTTTTTTTAAAGGATTGCAACATTACAGATTTCTAACCGCCAAGTCGAGAAAAAAAATAAATTACTAACTCAGCTAGATATTTTTCTAAGAACTCGTTAATTTTTTTCAGAAGAAATAATTAGATAAAATTAACGAAAGAATAACATTGGATTAAATTATTAGAATTGTTAGAATTGATAGAATTAGAATAAATTATCGAAAATGTTATCATGCGTTTGTAATATATCTGCAAAAAGACAATACTTACGTGAGTTTTGTAGTCAGATAGATTTTAAAGAACTGAGAAAGGATAAGATCATATTTAAGAGTCAATATGATTGCAACTCATACGTGTATTTTACTCGGATAATTGCATTACTCGCGCTTTTCAAAAAATCCTTGTTTTTTTTTTTCACGCAATCAGGGGCTTAAGTTGTAAACTTTAAGAAAACTTGTACCAGTCTATCTATCTCGTTGTTTGCAATTCTAATAATTTTCTTGTGACTGAACAAAACAATCCATTATCGTTGGAAATATTCTCACCATTGTTGTTCAGTTCATTGAATTTAATTGTTGATATCCTGCTTGAGAGTTTACAAAGGAAGTCAATAAAAAGACCTTGCGCCATCTCTTTTTACTATTGAGCATTACCGAATCGCATGATGTTGCAAATGTTTCTCGGAAATTTTTTTTTGTTACTTTTAATGCGTATATTCTTTAAAAAATAGTAGCAATATTACATGTAGAAAAAAAAATTACTTACTTATCTTTATTCTGATACACAATTATATACATAAAAATAATTCTATTCTTTGTTTATTAGCTATTCTTCTATTTTTCTCGCTTTTTTCTCTATCTATGTAGAATTTTCTATTGTAAATTAAATATTTACCTTGTTTCCTGGCACTATACGAACCGCTTTGTATTATGCATAGCCAAGATAGTATATCGGTACATATGAGAAAAATAAAGTAAAACTTCAAGCTTCATAGTTTTATACACATTCTGCTGCAACATAGTTTTGCTGAAAAACTTTGATTTTTCTAACATTCGTGCTGACGAAACTTCAAAATCTGCATAATTCAATTATTTAGTCTCGTAGAGCATGTTAGATAATGTATAATTTTTCGAAAATAATTTGATGGTATTTTTGCAATTAAAATAAATTTGCAATCACATAAGATTATTATAAATATTTTAGGTAATGGTTTATTTGAAAGAGCCGAGCCCGTGCCTTTTACAGCTTTGCATCCTTTTCTTTATTTTATCATCGATGCCGAGACCTCAGTGAGTCTAATTGCCGGCCGAATAGATGATCCACTTAATTCAAGGATATTGTAGGAATATAATCTACGATGATAAATTTTTAATAAACATTCGTTTATTTGACGATATTTTTATATATATAAATAGTTATATTTTATAAAAAGTAGACTTCTTTTAGCTTTTACGTACACAGCTATTATAAAGTACATAATTAACATATAGTGCTCTGTACAAATTCTTGTTTGTAAATAAAAAACAATATATAGATAATAAAAAGACGGTGTAACTTGGAAATGTGCAAGATTGAGCATTTGGAAGAATGTTCCGAGTTTATCTCTCGTGCTATAAAATAAAAATTACGATACTTCCGAGACAATTCGCATTTTCATTGATTGTTTTTCATTAGTCCTATGTGTATAACTATTTTTGTTAGCAAAAATTTGAATTTATCTATCTTACAGGACCAAAATGATAATACCTGAGAGAGAGAGTACAACTGAATTTAAAATAATTAAATATACACAAAATTTTGGTTTTTGGTATTGTTGCAACAAATTTATACAATTCATATTTATATATTTATTTATACAAATTTATACGTAAATGTAACAATTTTACGAATCATAATAATAAGTTAATGTTAATTTTTGTTTCACGCACATGTTGTAATTATATTTGAAACGACGTGTGGCAAGAATGATAATAATATTATGCCCTTCAATCTTCTCATCGCGAGCTATGGTTTTGATCTTTTTTATTACAACTCAACTTTCATTACGACTCCCTTCGGTCACACACACTTAATTGTAGTCTTAACACACCTATCAAATATATATTTTTTTTATTTCTTTACTTGGATTTATATATAAATACAAGTTTAGCGCGTGTGTGTTAGTGTGTGTGTGTGTATGTGTGTGCTGTAATGCATATAAAATTTCACACGTAATCGCAGATTATTTTATGTTCGATAATTCGGCGATGATTGTTTACCTCTTCTAGTGCGAATATGTTGTAACAATCACGACGACTTATTTTTTAAGTGGCAGTGCAAACGCAAATAAATAAATGCAAATAAGATACATCGTCATTTGCAGGAAAGTTTTTTTTTAGGATAATCCATGAGTTTTGATATCACGCGAGACAACATCGCACATCGTTGTTTGTTCGCACATGAATCTTGATATATAATTGTCTTATCGTTTTCACGTTTTTTTTTTGCCCGCGAAATCAGGTCAAGTGACATTTTTCAAAATCCACGGCACGAACTTGGAAATTCGCGTGCACACACCCGGTAAATTGGCCTCGGCACACCCAATGCCCCAAGATATAATTCCGGCGAGGAAATATCTGCCGTCCTTACCGCGAACTTGGAGAGGACCTCCGGAGTCACCCTGAATTAGAAAAAGAAGAAACGCAAAATTTTTTGTCATAAATATAAAAAACACCAAGTTAAAACAAACTTGATAATCTGCGTGATCAGGGCACGCATTACCTGACAGGAATCCTGGCCGCCGGTTTCGTAACCGGCACAGAGGAAAATGTCCGGTATGAACTCGTGTCTACCGGCTCTTAAGAACATCGACTTGCATCTGTCGTTACTCACTATCGGCACGGAGACCTTAAAATTCAGAAAACGTCAGAGTTATTGGTGTAAAATTCGATAAAAAAAAAAAAAAAGACACGATATCGCGCGGCAAAACGAAAATTACTTCCTGCAACACCGAGGGCAACGTCCCACCCTCGCTCAGTCTTCCCCATCCCGTGACCGTTGCGTTTTCCCCGATCAGAAGATCGTCCGTGGCCGGTAGACAGATTGGTGAAATGTGCGCCGCAAAGGTCAAAGAACCTTCGATTTTCACCAACGCCAAATCGTACTCGTACGTGAAGAAGTTATACTTGGGATGTACGACCTTGTCGATAACTCCGCGTTCCACATAAGGCAGTCGTTCTTGCACCGACGAGAAGTCGTACTCGCCGACTCGTACTCGGATTTGCGTTGTCAGTAAACTAAAGTAGGAACAGTTGTTAGAGATCCCCCAATATATATATATATAGATACTTCAAAAAGAGGAAAAGAGAAAACGTACTCGTCGACGCAATGGCCCGCTGTGGCAATCCACTTCTCGTTGAGCACCGCTCCGCCACAACGATGAGTACTGGAGAAACCGAAGAAGGACGTGCGACGCACGGATACCTGCCAAGGCCATCGGCCGAACGGTGCGTCCTTACCGCCGACGATTCTCGTTTCCGGCCGCGGAAACAACGGCGGTACACCGCACTGCATGTCTTTGCTCTCGTCGGCGGCCGCGATCGTCATCACCGAACCCGTTCCTTTCTCGCTCGCTTGGGTCACCAATTCTTGTTGTTTGGTCGTAGAGGCGCTTGTGGTACTTGTCGTGGTCGTGGTGGCGCTTGTGGTACTCGTGCTGCGAGCGGTCGTGGTACGCGTTGCCATCGCGATTGTCGAGCTGCTGGTCGTGCTGCTGCTGCTGATCGAGGATGTCATTAGAGTCGATGACGTCGTGGTGCTCGACGTTGTCGTTTTTTTTGTGGGTCGTGGCCTCGTTGAAGTCTCTAAGTGTGTCGTTATGTAGTGCGCCGATCCCAAAGGTTTCTGATATTCGATGTTCTGAGAAATTAGAAGGAAAAACCACATAACGGTAACGCGTTACGTTTTCAATATCATCAACAACGGAATCCAATTACAGCTTTTTCGTAATAAAGAAATATAGAGAATACGACGCAAGAGATAGTGAATTACTTGGCGAGAGAGTTGTTAATGCGAACGTACTTGCGGCTCGGTCGGTTTGAAACTCGGTCGCGGCGGGAAGTTTTCCGGACCATCTTGAATAAGACTGGGACTGTCCGTCCAGTGCGGTTTCAAAGACGGTCTAGGTGGCGTCCAGCTATTAGACCAGAAATGAGAACTCGTGCTTGAGGATGGATTTCGTACGTTCTCCGACGGGGTGATCGGTTTTGATGATGACGATGACGACGAAAATGACGTGGGCGAAGAGAAGGACGTTAATAAAGACATTGAAGACAAAGATGTGGACGACGACGGTTTTTGTTTTGTCACGAAAGCTGGTTCTGTAGTTACTTGCCAATGAGAAGTTTGTGGCATGGATCCGACTACGCTAGAATGAAAGACAAATTTTGAGTTAAATCCGACATACGTGATATATCATCGATATATTGTACGTTGCGCAATAAATATATTATCGCGATTAAAAATAAAAGATATTTTTTTATTTACGTTTAAAACAATTTGAAATAAAAAATATATATTGTCTGCGACAATTTTGGTTTAAAACCAAGTTGCATACCTAGTGGAAGATTGTGCGACGTACGTCGGTTTACCAGTCGTTGTTGTTGTCGTCGTCGTCGTCGTCGTCGTCGTCGTTGACGTTTTTTTCGTAGACGACGACAACCAAGTGTACGGCTTTGATATGAAATTCGGTCTGTGATCTGTCTGACCGCTTATCGATATTGGCCGATAAGTGGTCGTTTTGATCGAAAAGTACGGCTTGGAAAAATTCGTCGAAGGTTTCGATTGCTGCACCGGCTTGGTCGCCCAGGACGGTCGCTCGGTATGTATAAAATTTAAACTCGGATGGGTCTCTTTTGCCGCTTCCTGAAAAGAAAATCGATATTTCGCTCAACTCGGCGACTAAAATACGCGCGTTACAATTTGTTTCGAGTTATATCAACGTGCAAATGTGTTGAAAAAAAAAAAAAAATGAAAAATCAAATTTCTGTCTTACGTTTTCAATGACGGAATTGACATTCGGTCGATTGATCGTTTCCTGTACGCTGAGATCGGCGTCTTCGATCTTTCCGTCATCCGGTTTCGAGTCGTAAGGCCTTTGGTTGTTCGGTTTACTCGGTTTACTCTGCTTGTTCGGTTTGCTCGAGCCAACGACTTTGTCATCATCATCACCATCGGCATGCTCCTTTCCCGGCAAACGCACTACTAAAGTATTATGAGTCTCTTTATCTTTAAAGCCCGGTTGACTTTGAACGGAAGAAGGATTCTCGCTCGCTGTTTCCTCATCCGGTCTGGTCTTGTGATGATGGGAATAACTTCCATGATGACTCGGTCTCTTCGTTCCCTGCGGCCTCTGTTCCGTCCATGTGTTCGGGGACGTGGAAGACACCGACGCGGGAACTTGCAGCCTGTTTGTGCCGTGTTCGGACGTCGGTTTGGCATGCGGTCTTTTCTGCAAAGGTCTCGCGACCCCGTGCGTGAACGGTCTCGTCGGTCTCGTCGGTCTCGTCGTAACGACGACAGTTGTACCGTGAGACGCCGAGGACTGATGATAACTCGGTCTTGCGGTACTCGATGCTGTCCAGGAAGAGAGGAAAGTCGACGTCAGTCTGGTGGTGGTGGTCTCGTTCCCGACTAGTTCCGCCAAGGACAGAGTCGGCCTGAGCGTACTCGTTGAATCGTGCTGCTTCTGCTGCTGCTGCTGATGATGATGATGAAGATGATGAGACGCGCTTATCGTGTTGACTGTCGTGTTGTGAACGCAACAACTACCGAACATGAAGGTGTCCACGCATACGCCCACGTGCGTGCCTTCGGACTTGATGCATTCCCACACGAACATGCACGTACCTTCCCTGCCTTCGTAACCGGGCACTTTACAGGGTTTTGGACTGATTTTGTAACCTGCGTTAAAATCCAATAAAAACAAATAAATTCGTTTTATTCCGCTCGTCTATTCGGCGATCCCCGCGATCGGCAAGCTCTTCGATCGTTATTTTATCAAAAATTTTGTGTAAATGAACAAATACATTACGCGTTGACGCGTCCAAAAATTCCAGAGTCATATGGCAGCATGCGTACACGTAATATTAAACGTGTGTGCGTGTAAATGAAAGCGCGCGATTATGCTGTCGGCGAATCTAACGAGTTATAATTTTGCGGAAAAAGATGTTTCTCTGTGTGCGCGCAGTCGAGACAATCTCTCATGAGAAATATATTCCGGTAAAATTACATGTATTAAATTTGACGGGTGTGTCAAATACGATGAATACGTTATGTGAAGTTGTGTCGCATAAATACAGTACGTACGTATACAACACGCGGAAGGTCATCATCGTGATCGACAATTAGTCTGTCTCGCGTGTTGCACACGAGGTCTATCTCCGCCGACAAGTTTGGTGAAAGTGTACTACTTGTACCCGAAAGAGTTTTGCGCACGAGATCGTATAAAAAAAAAAAAAAATAAAATAAAATAAAATAAAACTTAATTACTGGAAGAGAAGTACGTAGACCCCTGGCTTTCCCTCCCTCCCTCCCTCCCTCCCTCGGGTCATTAACCGAGTCATCACGGTAAGACACGAATTACGAACGTGACACACGATGTAACTTGGCGATGAGTCGCTTTCTCCGTTAGAAACACGATCGTGTCAGCCTTCGTCCACCACGTATGCGTTATTACGTTATAAGAGGGAAGCGTCAGATTGGCGGAAGAAACGTTTTTTTTTTTTTCTTCTTTTTTGCGAAACGCAATTTATTCGATCGCGGCCGCGACGACCGAACGTCGCGGAATCAATACGCGCGCGCGCGCGTCCCGTTTTCCGCCGAACGTGTGCGCGTACGCGAATCTTCGTGAACGAAAATTACAAGCGCGTAATAAAAGTTAACGCGCGCGCCGATACACATATATATTTCCAATTTGTTTGGCGATTATTATGATTGCGGAGTCATCACACAAACACGAACGGGAAACGTGTATGACCTGATTTGGAGCGCGCGCTCTTATTTATTTCCCGTATGTTTCGCGGGCGAAGATCACAGCTGACCGCGAAACATATCTTGCTATATACAGTAGGTAGTAGGAGCGGTTGAAAAATATGACACGATAAGAGGCGCGGAGCCCCACCTTACGCACGCGCGATTTATTTCAAAACAAAAAGAAAGTAGCACCTTCTTTCGCTTTTCTTTTCTCACGCTTCTCGTGCACGACCGACTGCACCTTGACCGAGTTCTTCTTCTTCCTCCAATTAAGCGTTACACATTTAAAAGGGGAATCTTCGGCCGAGGAGAAAGATCGCCACGCGAAGGGAGAAAGAACGGAAGAGATAAAAAAAGAGAAGACTCGACGAGTATGTTCGAGAGTATGTACATGTACACGTATATGTATGTGTATACACGTGCGCGCGCGCGCGCGTGTGTGTATGCATCTCTGGAAAAGATTGGCCGCCGAAAGAAACGCACTCTCTTCTTACAGAGAGATGCCGCGGATACCGAAACGTGAGTTTTAAATCACCAAAAGGAATATTACTGACTGTGACCTCGATTCAGCGTGCTGAGAGACCTGGCGATGCCCGACCACCAGAGAATCGTGGCCACGTAACCGATCCACCGCATCCTGATCCCTGAAAATAAGAACGTCGGTTGTTATCACTAAAATCAGGCCGTCACTGATTCAGAGACATACTCATCGCGTGTGTCAATTTAGAGCGAGCTTAGTTTCCGAGGAAAACTCGTAACTCGCTGGAGGAGAGTCACGCAACAGTCACACGAGGAAGTTAATCGCCGCAAGAGAGTTCCACTACCGCGTCTAAAGTAAATTATATCGCGCGAGCAGTCAATTTTCTTATTTTATCAGAACGAGCTGTGTCGGGAAACAAGTCTCTTGCTCTCTTCCGTCGCGCGGCTATTGTCTATTGTGTGTTCGCGCTTCGTGCGCGCACCTTTCTAGTTCACTTTCTAGTTCACTTTACTTGACTCACGCTTTTCGTATTAACCCCTTCGGGAGTTAGAGATAAAGCGTGAGATGTATCTTGTTTCGCAACGCTTTTTCTTTCATATTCAGTGAAATCGCGAATAACTTAATTATCGCGTACGTAGCACAGGGATCACGCAACAAGCGCGTCATCGTTGTTTCTCAAAACGGAAATTTAAAAGTGATTTTTTTTTTTTTTTGCAATTTTCACATACAGATTAAATTGTGCGGCGCGTTCTCTGAATTCTCGTTTTCGTAGACGTTTCTAGTGGCAACAATTGTTGCGAAAATTCACATTGTTGTTTCGAAAGAACGGCAATTTGCTTGCAACGTTGTTTATTTGTGTGGAACGCTTACTTTTTTCGGCATCATTTTTTTTTTTCCGGTAAACGTGACAGAAGGCAAAAGTGATAGGATAAAAAATTTTAAATTACACTTGTGGAGAGTACGTATAAAGTTTTTTTATCGGATATAATATATACACATATATATGTGTAGGTTACAGACATTCCGTGCGCTGTGTAGCTAAATTCCTGCGATTTCTAATCTGTCGTTTTATTAGCAGTTGTCGTGCCGAGATCGACGAAGGTATCTCGACGACGCGACAGGTGCATTGGACGCGCGCCAAGACGCCGCCGTGTGCAGAACAAAAAAGCTACCCCCGATCCTGACTTGTTACCGAATTCTGGTCTCACATTCCAGGTCATTGATGCAGCATCGCCCGCTTTCGAATGTTCGATCGAGGATACCATCTCATCCGAGATGTATCCTCTAACCGTCGTCAGAATCCACGGCTTCAACTTGCAGATTATTAAATATTTTTATTTTCATCTTCACCAAATCTCAAATACGTTCCGTTATATTTTCTTTCTCACATAGAATTTTTTGTTCGAACAGACAAAAATTCCACGCAATTGTAACTAAGAAATTAGTTCTGCGAAATTATATAACTAAGACAAAATTGTTTTTCAAATTGTGCAAATTTAATTTTTAGATATTATTTGAAAAATTTGTGTTATATCATTTTTATCTTTTTTTTAGAAACAAAAACATTTTCTCGCTATATAAAATCCGCAATGATTGCAATTCGAATCTACGAGATTGTAGACTACGTGTATCGGAGAAGCATCGTATCTCGTGTAACTTTGTACTCGGTTGCAGAAATCCCATATAAAAATACACAGTTTGTCCGGAAAGTTCCCGGACTACGTGAATTAAAAATCGAAAATGAAAGATATGGTTTATTAAACAAGTTTACACTTCAAG